CATTGCAGGCAGATTCTTTACCGACTAAGCTATGAGGGAAGCCCTAAGGTCTAGAAACAGAGGCAAATATATATACTTAATACATGGTTCATTGATTGAATATTACAAAACATGTTAAATAATAATCAGTGCATCTAGACTTTATAGCCACCCTATAAATTATGCAGTCCTAATTTACAGATGAGAAAACTGAGGTTCAGAGATGTGAAAAGTCTCCCTCCTGGACTCACAGAAAGGAAGTGACAGCCTGAGGATTAGTATACAAGCATCTCTGACTCCAAAGTCTAGGGGCCTTGTCCCTACCCCAAGCTGCTGTTGGGTAAGAGGTGTATGACCTGCAAAGCAAGGTGAGGAGTGACAGGAGGCTCTGATCCCCAGGGAAGAGAAAAGTAACAGTTATTGTGAACATAAGGCCTCTGAAATCAGGCTGCCTGGGTTTGAATCCTGCTCTGCCCTCAGGCAAGTCACTGGTCCTCTCTGAACCTCATTTTTCCCATCTGTGTAATGGGAATGGTAACAATGTGCTCACTTCATTGGGTCGTTGGGAGGGTTAGATTAGAAGAGTGTGTGGCATGTGGCTAGCGCAGTGGAAGAGTTGCCTCTTGTTTGCTGGCCTCTTGGATGGCATTCTGCCTTGACTGCCTCGCCTACCAGCAGTACCACTTTTATACCAACTGTGGGTTCTGGAGCTGGCCACCTGGGCTCAGCTACTTGCTAGCAGGGTGGTCTAGAGCTTAGGGGGAGGCTTAAGGTGAGGCTCGTGAAGTTAAGCCTCAGGTCTCTCACTTGCATGGCCTTGTACCTTATTTTACATTCATAATTTTCTATTCTTTTTCTTAAAGGGCCCCCCAATATTGTTTTAGTGCTACTGACAGCCTGCAAAACATGCATCAGCCTGTGTGTGTCTAATGCATTTGGTCTCTCCATGTACCTCAATTTTCTCATTTCTTAAGTAGGGAGCGTGTTACTAAATGAATGAATAGGTGTAGAATGCTTTGAAAACACCTGGCACATAGTAAATGCCCCAGTAACTATTGGCCTCTTAAGTGAGTCTCCAGCAAGCGAATATGCTAAGTGCAGCAGCAGTCAAGGTGCTAAATGCTTTACCCCGGTCCTGTTATTTAATGATGTTTAATCTTCACAGCAACCACTCCCATTTTACAGGTGAGAAAACAGAGGCTCAGAAAAATGAGATCACAGAGCTTGGAAGCTAGATGGGTCTGAATCAAGGGCCTTGCCCCTAACCACTGCCCCACTACCCTCCCAGTTTAGAATGGGCCCCTGTCCCCTGGCAGCTGAACCCGGAGGATCCGGGTCAAACCTCAGGCAAGCACTGTCTGCCAGGCTCTGATCACCCGGAGGAGGGGGACGAGGGCCCCCCCAGGTCCAGCTGGACCCTGGGCCCTGCCACACCTAGCACCCTCGTCCCGCCTGCCCCCTAGAACTTCCTCCAGAGCTCCTGTCACCAGAGGCCCTGGCCCAGGTGGGGCAGGGGCCAACGGGTGACAATGACCGATTTAGAAAGTAAAGTTGCTTCTCAAACAAATAAGAAAGAAGAGGAAAGAAAGAAATGGCCTGCCCGCTTCCTGCCCCACTCTCTCTCCCGGCACCTGGGGCCCAGCTGCAGGGTTTCACTGGTTGTTTGTTCATCCTGCCTTGAGGAGCCTCTTCTTAAAGCCCCAGGCTCCCTCCCCGCTGGGCTGCAGGATGATTGTGGAGCCCATGGAAATAAGCACCCTTCGTGATTGTCGCATTGTTGTCCTCTCGAGTATTGTTTCGGACGACAATACCAATAATCATAACAATCTGGGTTTCCTGCAGTTGGGAGAAGGGCGGGGATTACCAGCTTGGCTGTGGGAGCTGCCAGCCTGGCTCTGAGACGTTGAGGTGTGAAGGCCTGGCCAGGCCTGAGTTGCCTTGTCTGTAAAGTGGGGGTGAGGTTGCGGTGGGGGTCGGGTGAGCAGGGAAGACACAGGCATGCCCCGGTGGGGTGGCAGCTACCCAGTCAATTACCGTGCAAGCCAGGGTCACGCAGGAACACAATTCTAAGAGCCTCTGCAGGTGGGGGTGGAAAGCCTGGTGGACCTGAAGCTAAAATAATCCTGAAGCCCTTGGTATGTTCTAGCCGATGTTTTAAGTGCTTTGCGGAGAATAATCATTTAATCCTTACCATAACCAAATGAAGTAGGTACTATGTCTTCCCTATTTTACAGGTGTGGAAACTTAGATGCAGAAAAATGACTTGTCGGAGGTCAGCACATCTGATAGGTGCAGATGAGCTCAGCCTGTCTGGGTCTGGGGTCAGTGCTCTGAGCTGCAGGCACTGGCTTGGGGGCAAGTCTGGCTCTGAGAGTGATTTGCTGTGTGAAGGTGGACAAGTCCTTTGCCTTCTCAGCCTCCGTTCTTGATCTGCAACATGAGCAGCCGTGATACCTGCCTATAGAGTCGGACATGACTGAACGACTGAACATGCATGCATGCATGCACAGGTATCAAAATCCTAGGGCAGATTTGTGGCCAGATTTAGTGACCAGGTAGAAAAAGACAATGATTGAATATACCAGGGGCCCAGGAAGCCATGGCTATCACTGCCTTCATTACTATTAGTTTTAGAGTCACAGACAAGAGCCAGCCTAGAGGATGCTGAGGGCCCGGCCCAGCTCTGAAAATCTAAATCCTGTGGTTGCAGCTGGGGGAGTGACTCCAGGAGGCACCTGGTAAGAGGTGACTCCACCCGTTTGGGGCTAATGGGGCTAAAAAAAAATCCCTGCGGCGCCACCATGCAATTTGCCAGTCGCCTGCCCTGAGTAAAGGCAAACTCTCCCACCCTGCTTCTCCGCCCCACCCCTACTTCCCCTGAGCTGTGTGGCTCCAGAGAAGTCACTTGGCCTCTCTGAGACAGAAAAGGACATGACCTACATTAGAGATGCTGTAGATAAAGTGCGTAGCCTAGCTCCTGACATGAAGTCACCAAGAGGCAAGGAAAACCAGAATTTGAGGCCAACCTATGTTCCAGTCTTCCCTGGGCACGTTTCCTGGACTCTCGGAGCCTGGAAAAGAGTTTCCCACAGCAGCCAACACACAGAAGTTGCATGACTAACAATTGTGGTTGGCTGTGACCATTTCTTGTACTTTCCAAGGATGTCCAGAGCCCCTCAAAGGTCCTGGGGTGTCTAACATTCACTCTAGTGCTCAATTTCTCTGTCCCTCCAGAACTATCCTCTGCCCATCTCCATCTGTTCTGTACTTGGTAGGTGACCTTGGTAGGTGACATCAATGGGTTTTGTCCTCTGGCTTCTGGTGGGGTGGGGCAGGAGGCAGAGGCAGGTGGAGAGGACAGTCTATTTATTACCCCAGCCCCTTCCTGCAGGGTACCCACAGGCTGCCCGTGTCCCTCACCCAAAGTCTGCAGCTCCAGTCAGCAATCCCAGGCATACAACTGTGGCTCTGGGTCCAGGTACCCCCTCCCTCCCCACCCTTCGGGCTGTGAGTAAAAACAACTCTGCATGATTGCCAGCCCTGGGACATCTGCCTTGTCCCTCCTAGTCTCCCTAAATCCTGCCCACATCTTTGTCATAGACCCTTGATTAAATTCTCTTCAAATTACTCAATTTGAATGCACCATCTGTTTCCTGCCAGGGCCCTGATCATGTGTGACGTGTACCCTGATGTATTCATTTAAGACTCCAGGTATGGTCAAATAATAAACATTCACATGGCTTTCACAGTCAGGTATTTATCTACTCAATTAATTTTTGCTGAGATCTGCCCTGCCCCAGGCTCTTGTGTATGGAGCTGGGGGCAGAGATGACCAAGGCAAGAGTCCCTGACCTCAGAGAACTCATGGGCTAGTCGGGGAGATGGATGCCTTAATAGACAACCACAGTATTTGCTGAAAGCCGTGACAGAGGCATGGGCAAACACTGTGGCAAGGCAGAAGGGAAGCCATCACGCTTGGAGAGGCTGTACAGCGGAAGGACTTTTGAGCATCATCTTTTAAAAAGAGTGTAATAACATTTTATTTAGCCCAGCATTTCAAAATATCAACAAATAATATTATCAAGTAAAATTGATGGAAAAATTCCAGAGGTTTTTACATCTTTTCCGAAGTCTTCTAAATCTGGTGTGTGTTTTGCACTTATGGCGCACCTTAGTTCGTCCTGATCACTTTTCAGGGTTCCGTAGCCTCTAGTGTGGAGCAGCACCTCCTTCGATTCTCACAACAGCTCTGGGAGCTCAGTAGGGCTTTTGCTCCCACTTTGCAAGTTGAGGAAGCAGAGACTCAGGGGAGTAACTTGCCCAGGGTCACGACTACTCCCTGATGGGGGCAGGCTGGAACCTACAGCTGCGTGCTTCCAAAGTCTGTCTTCCTGCTGCCCTGGTCTGTCCCTGGACCAACCCCTTCTTGCCAGAGTGAAGCAGCTGACAAGGGCTAACGTCAAAACTTCAACTGAAGTCCTTTGACCTCAAATCCTGCAGTGTTTCTACCTCGGCTGATTCCAGGGGACAGATTAAGGGAAGGTTGTTGCTGTTCAGTTGCCAAGTCGTGTCCGACTCTGTGACCCGGTGGACTGCAGCCTGCCAGGTCCCCCATTCCGTCACCATCTCCCGGAGTTCGCAGATAAGGGAAGATAGTAACCTTCCAAAATGGGTTCCAACCCCTATTCTTCTAGGACCTTGAGACAGCGTGGGGGTAGGGTGATGGGGGAGGAGAACTGAGCACTTCTGGTTAAGTTGCTAAATTCTCCCTTGGGAGGAGAGGGTAGTTAAGAGGTGGAAGGTGAGGGCTGCACGGGCTGGTGGCAACTAGACCAGGCAAACCGGAAAACGGCTGCAAGTGATCCCGGCATCTTTGCCAACACCGTGGCCCGCGATTCCTTCTGAGCTCGAACACAGGGCTATCCAGAAACGCTCACTCCCAGAGCCTAGGGTCGTAGTTAAAGTTCACAGTGAGTTCGTCACCATCATTTTCACAATGATGCTTGGGAAATTACAATGGGATGATAAAGGTAAGACATTTGGATGAGCGACTTACCCCAGATTCTCGGGGGTAGATTCTTAGACCCACATTCACGCATTGGAGGGAAAATCAGAGCCAGGGAAGAATGGCTGGAAGCAAGGGGAGTTCCCGGCACATCCAGGACGTGTGTTTGTGTGTTTGTGATTCCAGAGATGTGTGACGCTAAGAGTAATGATCAGTAGTTGAGTATTCCCGACCTATTGATTACTCATCGATTATCCATCCACCCATAGAATCATCCATCCAACCATCCCCTTGAGGTCCTATATGCCTGCCCATGGATCTGTCTCTCAATTTGTTCTTTCCTTCACCCACCCTTCATTCATTCTGTCCTCTCTCCTGTCACCTACCCGTCTGTCACCATCAGCTCTGGACCCAATCATCTGCTGAATGCTCAAGGGGCAACGGTGAGTAAAATTCAAGCCTTCCTTCAGACCTGGTGAGTGGACAGCCCTTAGTCTAAGCAAGGCAGCAAGTGTGGTGATGGAGAGGAGTTCTAGGAGCTTCAAGGAGGAAATGCCCAATTGTGACTTCCTGTGAGTAAGGAAGGCTGCCTGAGGAAGGAACACCCAAGCTGGTCTTGAAAGAGGAACAGGGGCTTGTGAAGGCCGAAGAAGGAAGCCTGGCTGATGAGATGGGCAGTGATGCGGGCTGGCCAGGGACGCAGAAGAACCCGCCACAGAAGCTGGTGGGAAGGAATGGAGGAGCACTGGCCTCGAGCCAAGTTTCACCCCCAGCTCTCACGGTCACAACACAGGCGTCCATCGCAACCTTACCTGGCCTTCCCTTAGCACAGGGTCTGGGATGTCAGACTCAGAAGACCTAGAGAGCATCCAAGATATCCTCCTTATTGCATCCAAGAAACTGACCTGCCAGAGTCTCCAACTCCAGTACCTCCTGGGTTCCCTCCATTAGCATCTAGACCCCAACTCCTCCACGCTCAGCGGACACTGCAGGCTTCACCCTTGCAGCCCGTCAGGGCCTGGCGTGGAGTTGGGCCCAGAAAAGGGACCTTCCCCCGCCCCCATCCCTGTTTATCGATAATCACATTGGTAGAGCTCACTCTTGCTCTTTCCATTGTTCCATTTAATGCCCCCTGCCCCCGCAACAGTCCCAGAGGGGCTGGAATTCCTTCTCTTTTTACAGATGGGGGGAGGGAAGTCTCAGGGAGGGCCAGGGGCTTGCCCAGAGCCGCAGAGCTCAGACACAGCAGAGCTGCCCTCCTGACTGCTGGGCTGCACCTGCTCCAGGACGCCAGGAGACACCTCACAGAGGCTGGTCCCCTGCTGATGCTGTGGACCGGTGGGGTCGGGAGGCACAGAAGCCAAGCCCAGGTGAGGGCCTGGGCGGTGGGGGAAGGACCCTGGAGAGGAAACCTCTGAGCTTGTTTTCACCTGTAACCTGCTCTGCCCCGCCCAGCAATGGAAAATGTGTGTCAGAGGAAGCTGCAGGCTGGGGACGGGGTAGGTGAGCGTGGGTGACAGCTTGTGGAGGGCCACTTTGGGGGGCAGGATGTGCCGGGGCTGGGGGGTGAGGTTGGGGGTGCTGGAGTGGAGCTCGGGTTCTGCCCCCGGCCCTCTGCCTTGTCCTCTCGGGGTCACACTTTCTTTCTCCACTGAGGAAAGGGAAGCGAGAACCGGGGTTGGGGGAACAGGGTGACGTGGAGGGAATAACGAGAGGAAAGGCCCCAAGAGATGGTGTGTTGGCATCAAGGGCAGCGAAAGGTGCTGAGAGGTGAGACCGAGGAGGCAAGGAGTCGCTCAAAGCCTTGCCCGGGGCCCTGGGGAAGTGTGGACAAGTTCTGAGTGGTGTGAACGTGTTTGCTCTAGGATACCCTCCTTCAAAGTGGTGATAGGGGCTGAAATGGACAAAAGTGAAATGCGATTTTTTTATGATGTTTTGCTAGTGTCTCAGGGCTACCTGTAACATGGTAGCCCAAACCAGGTGGCTTAAGACAACAGAAATGTCTTTTCTCACTGTTCCGCAGGTCAGAGGATGGATATTAAGGTGTCCTTGGGGCCATGTTGTCTGAGACTCTGAGGAGAGAATCCTTTCTTGCCTCTTCCTATCTTCTAGTGGTGGCCGTCAGTCCCTGGCATTCTGTGGTTTTCAGCTGCATTGTTCGAAACTCAGCCTCTGTCATCACGTGGCGTTCTCCCCGTGTGTCTCTCTCCTCTTATTTGGGATCTTTGTTCCCCTGACGGAGGATTGAACCCAGGCCCCCGGCGGTAGAAGCCCAGAGTCTTAGCCACTGTACCACCAGGGAATTCCCTGCCCCCCTCTTCTTATAAAGACAGCAGTGATATTAGATTAAAGGCCTACCCTATTCCTGCATGACCTCATCTTCTTTTGCAACAACTTAATCCCCAAGTAAGGTCACATCATGAAGTGCTAGGATTTAGTTCTTTGATGTCTATCTTTCGGGGACACAATTCAATCCATTACACATGTCGTTCAAGTGCTTATTCTGTAGATAAATCTCGAATTTGGAAAAAAAAAATCCTATGTAGATCAGATGTCCCACTTTGAGACTCGGAAAATATGGCCTCAGCCTATCTGTTCCCCACACGAATACTCTGCCCCAGTGAGTCCTAAATAAATGGTTGAGAAATAATTGACTTGTGGTCCCCTGAGGCCCTCAGGTCTTTCTTTAACAAGTTGGAGAAATAGAATAAAAGTCCCCAGAGAACTAAGTCAAGCTGCTCTCTGTCCTGGATTCCTGGTGAGCAGCTGCTCCACGGACCTGGGCTCCTCCTTCCCCTCCCGCCTGGGCACCAGGCTGGGGGAGAACCCCCCTGAGAAGGAGAGAGAGCAGTGGCCTGAGCCTCCTTCCTCCCTGGATTAAACAGAACTCTTCATCCTTCTCAATCCTCTCCCTCGTTCCCCAACCCAACAGGCTCAGACTGATCGGTTCACACAAAGAGTCCCTGCTGTCCCCGCTGCCTTCTCCCCTTGGTTCTGGCCTTTGCCTTAACCCCTGGGACTATTGCCCTCCTCTTCAAACTGATTTCCCTGCTGCCAGCAGCCAATCAGGTCATCCTCCACGTGAATCTGATGACTTCTGTCTCGCTGCCATAAAACCTTAAATGGCTCCCTATTGTTCTCAGAATAGTCAGGATCTCTCCGCCTACCATTCCAGGCCTTGTATAAGAGGCTCCCTGCATCACTCTCCAGCTTGTTTTCCACTCTTTCCCTACATATGCTCTACTCTATAGGCAGGGAGGAATTTCTGTTGGAAGGGGGTACAGTGGGGAAGCTTGTCTAGAAGTTGTCTTCATAAGTAGGAACGCCTGGGCTTGGCTGTGCCGCCATGTCTTCTGTAGCTGCTTCTTGGCAGGTGTTATTCCTTCTACACGGCATTCTCTCTCCACGTCTCCATTTTCCAACATCTGATTCAAAGGACATCTTCACTCTGATCACAGAGCCAAAAGGGTATCTCCCTGCTCCAGATACAGAGCATTTTGGTTGAACCTCCTGCCCAAGCATATTCTCGTCCACTTCGTATTGACTGGAGGATGACACCTCGTTTCCCTTAGAGCCAAGCGGGCCTGCAGTTGAACAGCAGGTGAGAAAAGTGCCAGAATGCTGGCCTGGCTGCTGATACCCTTTGCCAGCATTTTGCTTGGTGACCTTGGGCAAGTCACTTTCCCTCTGTGGTTGCAGTTTCCTCTCTGTTCGAGTGGGGCGTGGAGCAAGACAGCCAAGCTGGGTGAAAGCATGAACTAAGCCTTTCCCTCCAGCCCGGGTCAGGCCAGACCTTAGTCCTATGAACAAGAGCTTCTGGGGCCCTTTATTTTTTCACTAGTTTGCATACATTTGCATAAGGGCTCTAAGAGGCCCCCCAACTACATTTTGTTCATAGAAAGAACTGAGTCCTGCATGTAATTGATGTTTGGGGATGGAAAAGACTCGCTCGCTCATGGTTTCATCCAAATCTTAGCAGTCAGAGTCTTGAGTAACTAACCCTCCAACCCCCTCTTTTTATAGATGAGTAATTGAGCTCAGAAAGGGAAAGTGGTGAGCCCAAGGTCACACAGCAAGTGAGGAGCAGCAGGCTCCTTTCCAGGATTCCCGCAGTATGCCAGGGGATGGTACTAGGCACCTCAAATTTCTGACCACGCAGGGTGGAAGAAGGCGCAAGAGCGGGGTGAGTTTTCTCCTCAGGCCCTTCGCTGCACCCCAGAATAACAAAGCCTGCAGGCTCACAGCCTCCGCAACCACCACAGGAAACCAAATTGTAGTAGAAAGGCAGATGGGAGTGGAAAATCCTCTCAGAGATGTTAGATCGTTGCTTTCACCTGTTCTAAAAATAGCCTGGCTTATTAGAGATTGATAGATGACAAGATAACCCACAAGTTCTTCCACTGAGGTCTCGGAGAGGAGAGAGAGTGACTGTTTGAAGAGAAGCGGAGTTGGGAACTGCTGCAGAGGGTTGATGCCCTGGCCAGGAGCTCAGTGCTTAGGCAGTGTCAATACAGGCCGGCTGCAGGGCAGGTACGATGCTGGGCTATAGGAACACCAGGGGAGGGTAGGCAGATGTGGACACTGCCTTCAAGAGATCTAGTCACATGAGGGTGGGAGACAGATGACAAAAGTGGACAAGTTAAATAATTGCACATTGGGTTAGGTGCTATGACGGAATGAGCACTGCTGAGATGGAGACTAATAGGGGAGACCAGGATAGGTAGGGAGGCTTCTGGGAAGAGGTGACATTTTTTTTTAACTTTTTTTTATATAATATGCTTTTATGGCTGCACCTTGGGATCTTAGTTCCCCAAGCAGGGATCAAACCCACGCCCCCGGCATTGGAAGCTCAGAGGCCTAACCAGCAGGCTGCCAGGGAAGTCCCTGGAAGGAAGGGCCATTTCACGGAGCCCTGGCAGTCTAGTGGTTGGGACTTCGCCTTCTAATGCAGGGGGTGCAGGTTTGATCCCTGATCAAGGATCTGGGATCCCGCATGCCTCTTGGCCAAAAAAAATCAAAACATAAAACAGAAGCAGTATTGTAACTAATTCAACAAAGACTTTAAAAATACTCCATACACACACACACACACACACACACACACAAAACTTAAAAATATAAGTAAATAAACAAACTGAGACCTGGAGAATGAGAAGGAACCAATCCAGCAAAGAATGGAGGGAAGGGCATCTCAGGAGAGACGGTAGCATACACAAAAATCCCAAAGGTGAGACAGAGCTTGGTGGTTCAAGAAGCTGGAAGGCCGGTGCCACGGGAGAGAGGGAAGGGCTGGCGCCTTGCAGGAACTTGGAAGGAGGCAGGCCCAGGCCTGTGTCGGCTTTGAGGACCTGCTGGGGCTTATAGATTAGATTCCAGGTCCACGGGAAGCTCCTGAAGCAAGGTTTTCAGCTGTGGACTCATGGGATGTGGTTTGCCTTTGAAGAAGCTTGCTCATGCCTGCTGCCTGGGGTAATGATGGAGGGGCCCATGGCAAGAGGACCAGTTAGGCAATGGACATGGGCTGCAGACAGGAGTGCTGGTGGCTTGGACTAAGATGGGAAAGGAAACTCAGAGAGAACTAGATGGAGTCATGATATGTTTTGGAAATAAGCTTCCCAGAAGCTGCAGATGGATGGGGTCAGGGGTGGGGTGGAGGGAAGAGAGGAAGAGGGTGCTGGAAGGGATACCCAGGCCTCTGGTCCTAGCGCCTGGTGGGTGGCAGGCACTACCACTTCCTGAGGTGGGGAGACGGGCAGACAGGAAGGGCAGGGGTGGGAACCCAGTTTGGGGCATGCTGGGCTTGAGGCGTCTACAGATTGCCAGGAGGCGGCTCCAGAGGCCCTGGCAGTCTCAGGCCCTCTGATGAAAACCGTCGGTCCTTCCATCACTGGACAAAGTCTGAACTTTGCACCAAGCACAGCTCTGGTTCGTTTTGTAGCTTCAGCATCTAGGAAAGTGCTTTGCACGCAGGAGGTGCCCAAGGAGAAGTGGTGTATGAATGGAGCTGGACTACTATGAATGGGTGAATGAACTCATGACATGATGAGTGCTTAATAAATATCTAAGCAATTCTTTGACTCCTCTTCTCTCACCCTGCTAGTCAAAGATTGCTACAGATGTGACTTTCTCTGTGTTTCTTTAACCAGACCCTCGTCATTTAACCATATTTACAGCGACCTTTAACTGAATACTTACTGTGTGTCAGGCACCGTGCTAGGCCCTTTAGAAGTATATTAGTCTCATCAAACCTTCCCCCATTTGACTTCCTACAGCACTACTATACCAACCAGCTTGTGATCTCCCTGGTTTCAGGCTCCACCCTCTAATCTGTCCATCATACTTCAACCAGGGCGGCTTGAGAAGAATCAAAATCTGATCTGTCCTCCTCCGCCTGAATCTTCGATGGTCTACAGGATCAGGACCCATCCCCTTCCCACGGCTTACAGTACCCTGAGTCCTAGGCCCGCATCATCTCCCACTGTGCCTCGTCTGGATCTCCACTTGCCCTTCCATGGAGCATCCAATGCTGCTTCTTGCTTCCGTGCCTTTGCTGGCATTGTGCGCTCCTCCAAGTCTGCCCTTCCTGGCTCATCCACACCCCTGAAGGCTCAGCTTTTCACACCGTCCTCCACTCCAGCACTAGCTGGACTGGGACCTCACCGGACCATGTCCTTGCCACTCCGTGTTGACTTCATCAGCACCTGTACATATAAGAACTTTTTTCAAATGCTAATTTTGCTTTTAACATACAGGATCATTTCCAACTTATCAGGTCTGGTTGTTCCTTAGTCACAAGTGAACATGAAACAACTGGGCAGCTTTTCCTGAGTCAGGGCAAGAGCAGCAGTCAGAGGCGCTGCTCTTCCTCTGGGTGAGCTTTCATGGGAATGAGTCGCTGTGTCCAGAGGATATGTACATGCCAGTAGAAAGGGGTTCGGGGCCCTCATCCCTTACAAATCCCTGAACCCAGTGGTTCATTCTCACCCAGGGCATTCCCATCTGGGTCCTCCATCTCTATTGGGTTTCAGGGGCTTCTTCGAGTTTTCTTGCTCCTACCCAAGCAGTGGGGAACTGAACCTTCATGTCTGGTTGAGGGTTCTCACTCCACTGGACAGGGGTCTGTCCTAGATGGTCAGCTCATGGCCCAGCCCAGCCAGCCTCTCAGACAGCAGTGTGGACCAGCTGGTGCCGTTTTAGGGAGCTCAGTCTTTGGAAGCGAGAGCCCATCAGGCCCTCAAAGATGCTTTTCCACTGCCTGGTGGGACCACGTGGCCACCAGCAGCTCCAGCACCTTGGAGCTTCAACTCTAACTTCATGCAAATGACCTTGGATGAACTGGTGATCTCTGATCCTGTGCTGTCCTGGATAGACAGACATGACCACATGGAGAACGGGCGCCTGACCAGCTGCTCACTCAGTATCACAGGCCCTTCTGCTTTGGTTACTGCAGTTCCGCTCAGGGACGGGGATCCTGATACTCTGGGTGAAATGCAGTCCCCATAACTTTTATTTATTGAGACTTATACTTTGGCCCCCTCATGTGAAGAGCTGACTCATTGGAAAAGACCCTGATGCTGGGAAGAACTGAAGGCAAGAACAGAAAGGGGCAACAGAGGATGAGATGGTTGGATGGCATCATCAACTCAATGAACACGAGTCTGAGGAACCTCGGGGAGATAGTGATGGACAGGGAAGCCTGGGGCACTACAGTTCATGGGGTCACAGAGAGTCGGACACGACTGAGCGACTCAACAACAAAGTGCTTTACAAATATTAAATAATTGAATCATCACAATAATCTTACCAGGTGGGTAATTATTGTCCCCATTTTATAGATTTAAGAATTTGAGGCCAAGAGAGGATAAGTGACTTGCACATAGCCACACAACCAGTAAGTGGCGGGCCCCAGCAAGCTGACCCCAAAGCCATACTCTGAGCTGTCTGGTTCAGCTGCTTCAACCAATTGCCTGATGCATATCTACTTGTCTGTCTCACTTGAAACTGAATCTCGTTGACCCTTATCTGCAATGCTAGCATGCAGTAGGTGTTCAACCAAGCCTTCCTGCGCAGGAGCCAGTTGGTAACCTTCCTACTTTGGATAGGCAAGCCAGAGGGGAAGAAATGCTTTTCATTTTATGGCGTTTGGCAACCATCTATCTTCCATGATCACATTCGTAATTTTTACAACACTGCTGGGCGTGGGTTATTAGCCTCACCTGCCAAATGAGGAACGCTTGAGGCTCAGAGGGGCTACAGAATTTGCCTAAGTCACCCAGCGAGGAATTGGCAGAGCTGGACATAAACCCCAGTCTCCGGACGGCAAGCCTTGCCCTCGTTCCACACCACACATCAGAAATGAGGCCAGGGAAGACGTGGCTGAACCCAAACCCCGTCCAAGGGGCATGGAGGCCTTGCTGAGTCAGGGGTCATTAATCACTCCCTCCCCTAGTAAGGGGGGAGGCAGGGCAGGGGGGAAAGGCTTTAGGGACAGAGGTCTGCTTCCGGTCCTCTCAGCCCTCAGGGTCTGCCGCCTCTTTAGGGCAGGAAACTCTTCCTTGTCACAAAGCTCTAGCTTCCCCCTCTCCCTCCACCCCAAGCCACTCCCCTCCCCTGTCCCCCTCGAGGGTCCTGGTAAAAGCATCCGCTTGTCAGTGTAAATCTGCAGGGTTCAGACCAGCAGCTGGAGATGGATGGGCAGGAAGCAGTAACAATGGATGAAAGACCCTCTGTGCCCAGGTGGGTGGGGGAGGGAGAAGCAGGAAACAGAAGCCTCCCTCCTAGGAGGCCAGGAGCTGGCTGGCTGGTGGGCTGGAGGCCTGGGATGCCAGAACCTGCGGGGTTTATTTGGATTCCCCAAGGATCCAAGCTGGGAGCCCTTCACAAACATCGGCCAAGCTCATCTCCATGGGGTACCAGGTCCCCGATGTGTGTGACAAGAATGTGGTTCTCAGGCATCACTGCTGGTCCCCTGGGCCTAGCACAGGGCCAGCTAGACAGTTGAATGAATTAATCTGGCACTACTACTACTAATAACTGAAGAGTTACAGTTTTACATTTCTTTTCTTTAAGAAAATGAAAAGGATATCCAATTATCGCTTTTCCCCCTTTGGAGATTTGGCACAAACTCTTCCTTCTGCATGGTATGTGCTTCCCTCTGCTTTTTGCAAGGTCAGCACCTTCTCCAAAAAGCTCTTCAATGAAGCTTCAGGACCAGTTTTGACCCTCCCCCGTAAGCTAAGGTAACCCCCTTTAGCCCAGCACCCTGATAATTTCCTCCATGGCACTTATTGTAATTAGAAATCTTCCCACTTAATATGTAGCCTTATTTTTTAATCCTCTGTCTCTCTCACCAGAACACAAGCTCCCAAAGGGCTTTTTATTCGTGATTGTATCCCCAGGGCTGGGTACTTAGAAGATGCTCCATAAATAGTTGGTAACTAGATAAAGAGATGAACAACTGAATCCCTGCAATCCTGTCATTCACACCCGATGCTCTGCAATCTGCTTCCCTGAAGAGAACAAAAGAGTCTTGCTCTTGCATAGAGGATTGTAAAGCCCCAAGCCACAGTGAGTGGCTAGTTCCCAGGTCCATCAGTTTATGATCATAAATCATTTTAGGGCTTTGCTTCCCCCACAGCAGTTATATCTGAGTGTGCACAGGGGTGGGGAGAAAGGCTCTATGTAGGGAATGCCCACTGTCAGCTACTGTGGATACTGGGGTGGACAGGGCTGGTTCCATCCAACCCATCCATTTCAAAGATGGGAACATCAAGGCCTGGAAATGCCAAAGCGACACACACATCAATCCAGAGCTTTGTCAGCAGAGAAAGCAATAGAGTTGTAGGTATGTTGAGTCCTGAGATGTGTTCATTCATTGAACAGATTATTTATTGAGCACCTATTATGTATCTGACACCATGCTAGGAACTGAGGGGTGGGCAATGACTAAAGACTGTAGGACTCAAAACAGTTAAGTTAAAAAGCCCAGCTCACTTGACACGAAACTACTTCAATGACCCCCAAAGTAAGTCCTACTCGGCCAAGTGCAAGAGCTAGATGTGAAGGAATTCCCTGAAGGCCCAGTGGTTAAGACTCTGTGCTTCCAATGCCAGGAGCACATGTTCGATCCCTCTTCAGGGAACTAAGATCCCACATGCCATGTGGTGCAGACAAAAAAATAAAAATTAAATAAAATAAGGGAGAGAGAAAGAGCTGGGTGGGGGACAGGGAAGAACTCTAGAGTCTCAGGAGGCAGAAAGAAGGAGGGTAGATCTGGGGCTTGATAGGGAGAATCTGAAATGGAAGGAAGTGCTGACTCTGACTAAGGAGACAGCTTGGCCAGGTGCTGACCCTCTCAGGCATCTGCTGTTGCCAGCTGGGTTGGGATGATGCCCAGAAATGCAGTGCCTTCACATGGAACAGTTTGTGCTATCTCAACCGTGTGGGACCCAGTCAGGAGAGAAGGCCATTCTTTCCCTCCGGAGACTCCTATCTTAATATAAGATTCGCCAGACCCTGTCCTCAGCCTGGGAGTTACTGAGCTGAAGGAGACATAGGCCCATCCCTAGTGGGTCACACAGACACGCAGACAGGTCCTTCCAATCCCAAGGTCCTGGCCGCTTCAAGGCAGCACAGGTCAGCACGTCTGCCTTCCGGACTCCCTCTTCTGTCTACACCATCAAAGCTGAGGATGATTAAGAACTTTGGGAGACCTGGCAGACCGGCACTGGACTCAGCTCCACTTCTAGAACAAGTGACTTAAGGTCACTGGACCTCAGTTCCCTCATCTGTAACATGGGGATAACAGCACCAGCCTGTGCGGTGCTGTAAAAATTTGATGAAATCACTACAAAGCTCTTGGTTTACAAGTGCTTAAGAAATGGTAAGCCAAAAGCTTACCAACAGGACTGTTGGTCTATCTGCAGAATTCTTGCTCTGTTTCCTCACAAGCGTCGGGCACACAGCAAATCCTATGCCTTCAAAGTCCTGTACAAATGCTGGCCCATTCAGTCAGTGAACACTTACTGCATCCTTGTGAGGTGCCAAGCCCAGTCCTGGGTACGCTGGGAGTGGAGAGACACAGGACCGGGTCCCTGCCTCCACCTCCAGCCAGCAGAGAGGTTGATGTGGGGCATGCTGGGGCTCTGTCCCCCTGTCTTCCTGGGGACACTGCTGGGGGCTCTTTGGCACTGGTTCTGCTTCCCCCAGGCCAAAGTGCTCATAGCGCTGCTGGGAAAGGCTGAGGGAGGGAGGCTGTGACAGCGTCAGGCCCCCAGGGCCACCATGTCCGCTCAGCCCAGCTCTGACTCACCACCCACACCTGCCACCGGCTTCAGGCAGCCGTGTGGCTGGAAATAGACCCGGGGAGAAGAGCAGGAGCTGGGGGGGAGGGGGAAGGGGGAGAGGGGGAGGGGAGGGGAGCCGGGGCCAGGAGGGAAGGGAGCTGGGAGGTAGCAACTGCACACGAGGCTGTCACCACTCTCCCCTCCAGGAAGCAGAGACATGTCATCTGATAGAGCCCACCCGAAAGAGCCAGACTTAGGGATGCTCCTGGGGGGTTGAAGACCCCCAGCCTACCTGGGAGGCTGTCCTGGGAACACTGAGGATTCCACAATGTTGGGTGGTTATGGGCACTTGCTGGGTACCAGGCATTGCCCTAAGTAAGTGCTTTGCATGTCCTAGTGATCTCATTCAACTCTCGCAGCTCCCCAGGAGGTTGTACTGTGATTAAGCCCATATTGCAGATGAGAAACTCGAGAATCGAGTTCCAAGAAGGAAAGTAGCTCGCC